CAAGGGGACTTCTGGAATAAACAAAATGTCTACCTGGGCACATGTGAATGTCAAATTCATCAAACCAAACAGTGGATATCTGTCTATATTATTCTATGCAAATTATGCCTCAATAAAAAATACATATGCCTTTGCAAAAATATAGGCTACTTTTCGGCAGGTAGAAAGAAAGTGAACTTACTTAAATGCGACTAAGTAACATTTAAGAAACCTGAGCTCCTTCTACATAGAATCGGTAACTCCCATCACAGATCAACTGACAACAGAGACAGGAGCTTCCAAAAGGCAAAGGCAGGGCACATGGCCAAGCTCAAGACCACACAGAACATAGGGAAGGGAAAAACAAAGCCAGGAAGCGGAAAGCAAAATTTGAGCCATAAATTGAGGCATTTCACAATATTAATGGACATTTTTTTTCCATCAATAGGAGTTGGCCACTTCATTATAAACTTTATTTGAACATCTGAAATTAAATTATACATGTTTAAGGGCTTAAATATTTAGGGTATGGATCTTTTTCCCTACACTTAAATACTGACTTTTTTCCTCAATCAACTATTAAACTCCAAATAAAGGGAGTGTTTCAAAATATCAGCTAAAGTAAAGGTGCTATACTGTAGGGTAAAAGTGAAGGGAAACCTATCAACGATGTTTGTGCCATTACATAGGCTGAAAAAAATAAGAGGGATCTCTGACCTGGCTGAAATATCTCAGAATATCAGTTTCTTTCATCTTGAAAATGGGCATAATAACACTTTCTTCAAAGGAGTTACATGGGGGTTAAAGAGGAAACCCTGCATCACATATTAAACATAGTGTTTGGTATTTACTTAGTGACTGGAAATCTCAATTTCTTTTTCCTCACTCACAGTTTCATGTCATGCAGATCAAGAGGAAAAACAGCCAGCGGAATTTAAACCTCAACAAACATAGTTAGGACTTAAAGTTCTTCAGAAGCCAGTTTAGAACACCAAGCAAAGTCAAATTATTCTAAACACAAAATACTTTTATTTTCCCTAGGGGGAAAAAAAATGAAAACAGTAAACTAGATACTACTGTCTAGGAAATCATATCATAACCAGAGTGTCTTGTGCATATAACACACAAAATTCAATAAATTTACACCCAATCTTGAGAAGTTCACTTTTCTAAAAGGTTCTAATGAGGGTTGCTAGCAATTGGTAATAAAAAACATCTCCAGGTATATATCCTTACCTGAGAAATGTTCAGTGTCTACTGGCATCTAGATGTTTTCCTATAAGTTAATGAGGATACAGCAAACATCTATTTACCCCCAGAGTAAAAAGAACAGGGTCAATGTGCACTTCTGCAAAACACAGCAGAAATTCACATTTCAAGGATGGGCAAAAACAACTTCGTAACCTAGTCATATGTTTGCAGTTTTGATGGCTGGCTGTCCTCAGTGGGGATCTGAAAGAGCTTTGTCCTACCTTCAAAAATACCTACTTGCATGGGAGGAAGGAGGAAAGGGGCAGATTTTGATAGTGCTAGTCTTTGCTTTCTAAGTTATTCCTTGTTCTGAAGTTTCCACTGTGACATGGGAAAACCTCAAATTCTCACCCTGACTCCCTAAGACTGTAAATAATGTTCTGAAAACATGTTTGTCCACATTTCAGTTTCCAGGAGATTTGAAGTGGGATGTACAATTGTGAAATCTCCAGACATCAACTTCACTGAAAAGAACTTGGGCTTTCTTCTTCCAGCCATGGGCTTTAATTTCAGGCTTTAAAGACCCCACCAAAAAGCTGAATGTTGGAGCAGCCCATCCTGAAAAAAAATGATTCCCTCATAATGAGGAAAATAATCAAAATGTCACTTGAATCCTATTAAGGATGCTAATAGCCCCCAGAACTCGACTCACCTCCATCTGCCAAGCCTTTTCTATCCATCCACCTCAGAGAGGGACTCAGCACAGAATTGAAAGATGAAGGATGTAGTAGGAGGAAAGGAAAGCCATTCTAAATCAACAGTTAGACTCTTCCCATTTGTTATGATGATCAATTGCATTTCTACTAAAGTCACCAAGGATGATCAATCTAGGTCTGGATTTTTAGAAGTGTACAAGAACAATAAGTAGTTAGCAAAGTAGTTGCTGTGTCAAGGACACAGAGGAAAAGTCATTACTTCTCTTTAAAAATATCTAAGACTAGTATGTAGGTAAGCGAATTTGAAAGGGTAAAGTAACATATTTATTTGCCCAATTAATCCTAAGTAATCATAAGGTCAATAGGAAAACAGAAGCAACTTAGTCATTGGACTTAACTAATTGGCAATCAACCAGTAGAGAAGATCTGATGGTTATGGGCCAGTGTAGTATAAGCAATGATTTGCAAGAACCAGCCAGTTAAAAGACATTTAAAGGCATGCATGTAACATTATTTTTAAAATAACATAATTCAGAGTCTCATTGCTTATACCTTAAAAGTATTATGATCTTCAAGCATTTGGGCTTTTAAGTGCTTACAATTAATAGCTGTATTTTAAATCCTTTTTTCCTCTCCGGGCCACCCACCTCCAAGGAAAAAGTAAGAATTCAGGGGAAAAAAATTCCAGGATAAAGACTACCAGTCCACAGGGCCTATTAGCATATCAATGAACTGTGTTTCTATTTACACTTCCATCACTGGAGCTAACTGTTAGCTATTTTAAGGAAGAGGTTATGCCTTAATTAACAGCACTTGGTAAATGAAAGCCAGTTGCATTTCTTAAGTATGTTCAAATTTCAAAAATTTTATTTCACAGCAGGGATTCCAGTTCGTCCAATATTTTCATGTGATAACACTTCTGATCAAGGAAGAAAGTCTTTAAAAGACCCCAAATAATTAGTTTCCAGAACTGGAGTCAACAAAAAGCATAATTAATGAGTAAGCAAATTGTTTATCTCTGGAGCATTAATATGCATGCACATTTTAAATGAAGGGACTTGAAGGGAATACAAACACCTTCAGTATTTAATACTTCGAGCAGGGATATTTCTAAATCCTTAACAAAACCAAGTGCTCAGGGCAATATCACCAGCTGTGTAGCATGGTGTATGCCTATAACTCTGGCCCTTTCACATTGTCTGTCCTGCCTATACCCTGGAGCTGCTGGAGGATTGCACTTAACCATGAGCATTGCAGAACATGAAATCTTGTCGTTTCTGCTTGCTTTCCCTTTCCTTCTGGTCATTCTCTGCTTATTCCTCCTCTGCACAGTTCTATCACCCTTTCTGAAGACCCAGAGCTCCCTCCTCCCCAACTTCGTGATTTTTCTCCCTTTCTCTCCCTTTCTCTCTTCTCTGATTGGAAGTTTCAAAACCGGCCATATGTGAGGGCTTTGGAGAACTTCTGTCACAACAGGTCCAGAGCCACACTCACAGTCAACCACTTTTCCACATTTATCTCACAAATTGAGAATAAAAGACAAAGCTCCCAAACAAATATTTTTCAGTTGTGGTTTTAACCCAAATTCTTGCCCTTTTTTCAAAGATGTCAGAAACAACAAATGTGGGACCACTTATGACCAAGTTAGTAAATACAGGAAAAGACATTGGTAGAGAGCCCCTTGTTTGATTTTTACTATTTAGGAGGCACCGTCAGGCAGCAGCCCAACAGCAATACCAACAGCAGCAGCAGCTGCAGCCCCAGTCTTCTATACAGCTTATGTGTATGAATTTATTTCACCCATATAACAGTTTCCCAAGGTGAGTATTATAAAAGAGGAAGCAGCAGCACTGGAAATTAACTCTCCCACAGTCACAAAGCTGTTAAGGGACACAAAACCACCCAGTGTCACTGTAGAACCTGCCCTCTTACAAACCCACCAGACCGCCATGCCTATTTCTATAGCATGTTCCTGTGGTGTGTTGAAATGAGACTCTGTTCTACCATTTTGAAGAAGTGATCTTTTCTGGGGCTAAGATGAGTTGAAATCCCTTCAGTATACATTACTAAATATCCCCAGCACTGGGCAGAAAGGAAGTTCCTTCTACCTGTGTCATACACCTACCAGTGAAGAATGGAAAGACGGGTAAAAGTTACCATGGATCAAACAGAAATGCCTCAGTATGGGCAGTGTTTAAAGCAAATTTCCCCTGCATGAGGCACTGTGCTCTTCTATAGGCCCGGCAGTATCCCTTAGCTTCCATCAAAGTCCCCACCTGCCATCAAAGCCTTTCCTGTCTCTTACTTCACTATTGACCACCATTGATGATTCCATAGTTTCCCTGCCCTGACAACACAAAAGTTCATTCTAAGGGGATAGATATAAAGGAAAGTACTTCTTCCTTCTTTTCAGTATCTCCCCAGGAGCATTCTGTCCTGTCCAGGAGTTTTAAGAGTAGCCCCTAGGGATAGTGCCTTGGTACCCTGTTGTCTAACCAGGAGAGATGATTCAGTTGGAAAGAAATTCAAACCAGGCGGAAGACTGAAGTATCTGGGACAGAAGACCATTGGGTCGTTGCATGGCCTTGATGTAAAGAGGCCAATTAGAGTTTCTGCCTAGTGATTCCCAATACTTTTTAGCTTTGGTGCCAATAAAAATGTCAGGGAAAAGAGAAGAAGTTTATCTACAGTATTTAAAAGAATAATAAAGTTTAAAAGTAGGGTATGTTGTCAATCCATGCCTTTAGAATAATTACAATATCTTGAAAGTTTTTAAATATTATTAAATCTTTTCTATTTGCTTTCTGGCCACATTATCACCCACTTAGCTTTAAACAACATCAACAACAAAAACGCAAACCAAGAGATCAAGTCAGCTTTCCTAAAAAAGAGAAAAATCTGTTCTGAAAGCTTCTGCTCTGAAACCAATTGCCAATTTGGCAATAAACCAAGCGAATTTGACAAACACCCAGCAAACTATAAACATAAGACAAGCATGAATGCAGTACAAATACCCTCTCTGAAAAATGCCAATTGTATCCAAAGTCCAGTAGTTTGAAAAAGCATAACTAACTCCTTCTTTTACTAAAGAAAGAAAGAAGCACAAGTACTTACAGTGTCATGAGACTTGTCCTTGACATCATAGACTGTTAGTTTTATTTTGGTCTCTTCATAGATGGGATACTCGGATGGGAATGTGACACCAGTCAAAAACAGTGGGTCTCTTGTCCCCTGAAACACACAAGCAGACAAGTTGTATCCAATAAGGCAGCAACTGCAGTCAGCAACACGCGGTGACACATGAGAATGCAGAAAGTGTGTCTGAGGCTCTTTTTCTAGGAAATAGTTCTATTAGAAGACAGATCTGAATTGCCAAATGTTGCTCACAGGCAACAAGGAGACCCAGGGCCCCAGAGCACTGGTACAGCTGTTGATGGTAGATAGACTTGTATCACTGTCGGAGCTGCTAATCATGAGACATGAAAAACAATTTATTTCATTATATGCAGAATGTGCCAGCAGTCAGTCCATTTAAAATATATTTAATAGCTATAACCTATAATTTATGTGAATAATCCAAGATAGTGACTGATAAAACTAACATGAAGTTATTTTCTCAAAAACAGCCATTTGGTAATCTTATGATGTTCATTTTTTCCCTTGCTATGATTCAACTGAAAGCTATGCTCTGAGAGGATCTGCTTGTTTTTAAATGATCAGCTGTGGCCTTTCTTTTTCCCCTAGACCAACTTAAAAACTTAATGAAAGAACATTTAAATACAATAGATTGGGGACTATGAAATAACTAGCTCAGGAAGCAATATACAGAATATTTCAATGCCCCAAGATTTAATCTTAAGGAGCTGACATCCAACACTAAATTATGTATATATACACATAAACATACATATCTGAATATCATGGGAATATTTGCTTGGGGTCTATAAAGCAATTTTCTACAGAAATTTCTGAAAGCCCACACGATTCATTCATTTATCCATTCTTTTACTCAACAAATACTTTTTGCTTATTATGGTGTCAAACACTTAAGTGAATAAAACAGCCAAAAATAGCAATGTGTGTTCAAATATAAAATTTTGAAATTTGCAAACATAAATCATTTTTATGTTTAAAGTGGTATATTTTATGATATGTGTGTTTTATCACAGTAAAAAATGGGGCAAAGGGAATTTCATAAATAAATAAATTCTTTTAAGTTTTTGGTAATATTTTGAAAATTACTAATTTAGAATAATGATTGGAAAAAAATTGGATGTCAACAATTTTACAAGTTTAGCCAAGCTATCTTTAGATGAATAAGATTATTTTTGTTAATTAAATGCAACATGAACTATACATTACACTGGCACAGGAACCTAAGGTTTTCAAAGGGCAGACTCAGGGTGCATGGGTATCTGGGTCATTCCTATTATAGAAGTGACTGGTCTGAATCATTTATTCCGCCAACCGCATCAAAGCAGACGGGCAGCTCTGAGCCAGCCAGGTCTGGGGCAGGCTGCTTAAGTTCTTACAGAGAAATTCCTGGTTCTAAACAGACGCAGCTCACAAGTCTAAGAAAAACAAGCAAACCTGAAGGAGTTTAGAGTCTACTTTCCCCAGCTCCAGATGTGCCCAGAAGTACCTCTCTTCACTAAGGTCCTGAAATACGTGATCCGAACAAAATAATCAAAAGGGAAACACTTCCTCTTTTGAATCTGATCCAGCACAATAACGAGTTTCCTCTTGACACATTCTGAAGGCCATATTAGTAACAATAAATGTAAATAGGAAATCTCTCATCGGATGAGTAATATTTACACCTTCAGCCTGGAAACGTTACAGTTTCACAAATCAATCACCTACCTTTCTTTGAAAAAAGCATTGGACTTTGAAAAATACACACACAGCAAAGAATCTAAAGTTTCCACAATCGGACTGAAGAATACAGGGGAAAAAAAAAAGAGCAAAAAACACTTACCCTGTTTAGAACTTCTATGGGTACTTTACAACTCTTCCCTAAAATAAATGTTCTTTCTCTTTCATTTAAAATCTCTCTATATATTTCCCCCTCTCTCCATTCTAATGTCTATTTGGGGATTCAAAGGAGAAACTTTCCTATCTTCGGAAGAAAAATACAATCTTTCATTGAAAAAGGTTAAGTTTCCCGCTGTGTTTATTCTGGTGAGTTACCAGTGCAGGCTTAGTAACCTCAGGTAGGCGTTCCTTAATGACAGAGGACAGTAACAGCATGGCTACAGACCCTGAGCTGTTTGCTCAAAAGGTGACAGGAGGCAGGTGGGAGGGTGAGGAGGGGAGAAAGGGAGAGAGAAAGAGAGAGACAGAGAAATGCAGGCACACAGCATGCTCACCTCCACAATTTCAGTGCTGGAGTATCTTATCAGACTCTGCTCCGCGGGGTGGATTACAGAGATCTGCACCACTGTGTTCAGTTTCCGATCACGGACAGGAGCCACGAGATCCTTGCATGCTGGCAACAGCAGAGGAAAGAGAAAAAAAAAAGAAAAAAAAGGAAACTAACACTGTATCTCAGGGAAAACTTCTGTCCTGGCTGAAAGTAAACTTAGCTACGGGCTGAAGGAAACCTCCCGGGACTCAGGCTGGTTTTACAGAGGAAGTCCTTTGGAAGTACCTTACAGAAGTAGGAAGTCACGTGCTGCGGAGCCGAATTGAGAGTTCATTTCCACTGACCACATTTGCAACTCATGCAAGTCTTGACTGCTCTGAGATCCCAGCTCTAATGTGTGACTCTGCACATCCTGCTGGGACTTGGGTGATTTTAATTAGTCATTAAACCCTGGGCTTCAATTTAGACTCCTTGATGAAGTAAGCCGATTTCGGGCACGTCCAGAAAAACTAGGATGTCTCTTACTGACAGTGGTCCGGATAGTTCAGATGTTAGAATGCGCACTTGGTCCTTTCCTACCTATTTTCTAGAACTGCCCTCCTACATACAGTCAGAGGCACCAAACTAACCAAAACAGGAAGAGTGATTACCCTGCAGCAACAGCAGCAGCAGCAGCAGCAGCAGCAGCAGCAGCACTCAAGCAGAAAAGGAAGCAGAGGAGGGGTTAAAAAAAACCCTCTGTCTGGAATTCCAAGCCAAGCCTGGGAGAGAGCAACTGGGATAAAGATGGGGTAATTCTTGCCCAGGGGCCACACAGCTAAGAACTTTCCCTTGAGACACCAGGCTCAGATTACAGACTCTTACCGCCATACCATATTTACTTGAATATTTTCTCCCTCTCACGTATCCTTCCCACCATGTGGGGAAGAAAACGTACATAAGAAATAGCTTTTATGCTCCGGAGCACAACAGACACTAGTATGGCAATTTGTAAATCAATGGATGTGTAACTGATGTGATTCTGCAATCTGTGTATGGGGTGAAGGTGGGAGTTCATAACCCACTTGAATCAAAGTGTGGAATATGATATGTCAAGAAATTTGTAATATTTTGAACAACCCACAATAAAAAATTAAAAAAAAAAAAGAAATAGCTTTTACAGTAAATCCTATATCCACTCTCCTAACTACATTCTCCCTCCGGGTTTTGAAATAGTAACTTCATTCCTCACTGGATGTGATGTAAAGTGTGTGGCTAAGTGTGATGCAAAGTGCCTTCACCAGAGGTGGCTCAAGTTAGGATTAGCCTGGTGGCTCTGGGTCCTGGATTCACCTGGTGGGGCTGCAGGGTTCTGTACAGCTCCTGCCCCACTTCCCTGACCAAAGCATGAAGGCAGGGGAGGATGGGTGTATTCAAGCCAGGTCACAACACTGCTGCAGCAGGTAGGCCTTTATCCATGGGCACAAAGGTAATATAGCTGAGATGTGACACTTGAAAGCAAAGGAAATCATAGATGTAATTATCACCTTTCAATTGCTTACAGATCATCTCATTTATTGGAGCATAATGAGGTAGGAAAAAGCAGGAGTTCTGAAATAAAACAGGCCTGGTTTTTGTTGAGCTCTAATAGTTAAGTGATGCTGGAAAAATTACTTAACTTCTTAACTTCTTGCCAGAGTTTGGGATCCTCTTATTCCTATCTGGCTTTCTGTCATATGTTTTCCTTATTTAAACCACATGCCTCTAGCAGTATAGGAGAGCTTAGGAAAGCTCGTGTGGAAAAAATAATAGCCAGAGTTTATTTAACCCTCACTATTTTTTAAAGCACTCTGCTCATTATGTCTTTGTTCCTCAAAATGGTGCTTTGGATTAGTATTGCAGTTTTGCATTTTAAGAACTAGAGCTTAGAATCATGAAGTGCTCACATCTACATGACTAGAATCCCCTAGCAGCTTGCTGACATCAAACCCTACCATCGCTACATTTTTCCCCAGGGGTATGGATTTGCACTCCTGCACCCTGGAACCTCCTTTGGAAGAAGTTTTGCCATGGTCTTTTACTGCTCAACCCAAGAGATCTACAGTTCTATAAATGACTGATACAAGGTTTCAATAATATCAGCATGTCAATGGAAGGAAAGAAAAAGCTAGATTTAGATTTTACTGTTCTTTGGTGGTTATTTTGATCATTTCCTTTTCTTGTCTTAAGAACCTGTTTAATTTTATCGCTCTTGGTTTTCTGTTCACAGTGAGCATCAATGTGTGCTCATTTGCCTTGCATCTATGTGTCTTCGGATTTTTAAAGCTGGGGCCACTGTGTTTCCAACACAAGAATGTTGCCCACTTTCTGGTTGTAGCTTCACCTCTACCTTGTAAGCTCATGACACCTTTGCTCAAAATAAGTCAATTCTTTCTGAGTTCTTATCGGGCTCGATTGTGGGCTGTGGTTATTTCCCAGAAGTGAGCAGCTGTTCTGCATTTCATCAGAGAAACTCAGCTTCACTCCCCACAAGGACAGAGAAAAATCTCAACTAAACTGAAATGTTCTGTGCCTGATCTGCAGACCTCCCAGTACCAAGCAGCATAAAACAATAGTGGTATGTTATATTTTGTACCCCAAAAAACCAGGCACAGAAAACAATAGTTATCTTTTGGGCTGCACTTATCTCTTTTCTTCCTAACAGCCCACAGTACTGACAGTTCCTTAGGGCTGAGGTGGCAAAATGTCAAGCAAGGCCCTGAGATCAGACAGCACTCCTGAGATACAGCCCTAGGTTCCCTGCTTCCTAGTTCTGTGGGCTGTGTAAGTCACAAACCCTCAGATACATAATGCCTCTGTCCGCCTACCACTCAGGGTAGAAGCAAGGAAGAAATTAGGTCTGTTATAAACAGACTTTTCTATGCACAAGTAATGTTTACTAATGTCATTATACTAATACTTACCAACATTTGCTGTGTTGTTATTATGTAAAATAGTTTTTATTGGTTCAGTCATATTCAGTTCCTTACCATATCCAATATTTCTTTATAAATGCATTTCCTAAAGTGAAACCCAGAAACATCATGGATCTCAAACTGTATTGAAACTGTACCCCTGGAGGGGTGATAAATGTTGAATGAGTGGATTGCTTCAAGGAGATATTACTCATTGGAACAGTATAAAAATCTAATCTTCTTGGTAATTATTTAGTAGCTAATAGAGAATCTTGAAAAAAAATCTGTTTTCAAAAATTTTTAATAAAAAGTTATATCAAACTTCCAGCCACTGTTACCACTGTCCATTACCCAAATACAACTCTACCCAAGAGAGCCCTACATAAATGTCTTTCTTCAACTTAAAAAAACTAAAAGAAGGCCAAGTTTTGGGACTTTGCTTCTGTTTTGTTTATTTAAGAACCCTAAAACAAATGCTAGTCAGCAATAATACATTCATCAATAGATTTTTTAAAATTTTTATTTTGACCTTTTTACTGACTTTAGTTTAGATCGAGCTATTTAAAAGTATATCACCGAACCCAGACGAATTGAAATACATATGATGTTGACAGGCTGGAATTCAAATGTGTTTTTGTCCACTAATTGACTTTTTTTTTCTTTGGTACCAGGGATTGAGCTCAGGGTACTTGGCCACTGAGCCACATCCCCAGCCCTTCTGTCTATTTTATTGAGACAGGGAGGGTCTTGCTGAATTGCTTAGGGCCTTGCTAAATTGCTAAGGCTGGCTTTCAGCCTCACAAGCTACTGGGATTAGAGGCATGTGCCACTGCACCCTCTGATGATTTGAAATTTTTCTTGAGAAAAATAATAAAAGCTCTGAGTGAACACGTTGCCTATTAACTCTTGTCATTGTAACTAGCAATGTGAGGAGTTCGCTTTCCTTTGCCAATCATGGCGAGTGAGCAGCCTCTCAGGCTCAGATTTGTCCAGGAGCCAGGCGGATCTTCAATGGAAGCGAATTCTTGGTGGAAGTATAATGGTAAAAATAAATGGAGCCTCCCTCTCAGGAGAGAGCTCCCACGGGGCTCCTCTCTGAATTCATTGCTGGATGAATGAAGGCCCACTGCGGCCTGATTCTAGAATTTGTCCAAAGCTTGAAATCCCTATCACTATTGGGCTAACACTAGAATAACCACAGGGCCTAAATTTTGCTAAATTTTGCCTCAGGGCCACAAGTTGCTAACCTCTGGTTAAGAAGCTTGCATTCAGGAAGGGGTCTTATCTCCTAGTAAGCTCTAATATTTGAGGTTCCAGAATTGAAAAACTGGAGTCTCCAGGGTACTTGTTGAGTCAAAGAGCCCTTCTGCTTCAAAATGCCCTGTTGCTGTTTTTTAAATAAAGTAATGAGTTTCATTCCACTTGGCAATCATTTCTAAATCGTGTCAAGTCTACCGATTTCCTAGAGGCTCTCCATCATCCTAGCCAACTTTGGCTGGAAGCCTAAAAATGTCTCCTGCCTCACATCAGAAAGCTCTGCCCCAGCACTGATCAGTGTGAAATGGAGCCGAGCAGCACCTCTGGGTGCTGTTGAATTCAGAGGCACTTCCCAGGTCAGGGAGTTCTGAACCCTGCAATGGATGTGGCGCGTAAGCATGATAGGGCCACAGGCCTTCAGAAGGAATGGTGGCCGGAGCCGGAGCAGCTTGGGTTCATGGTCAGCCCAAACAACTGTCCTAGATCCTAAGAACTTCTTTGGGTCATTCTTCTGGCTTTGCTGTCATTCAACTCTGTTCCAGTCATCTAGCATTAGTGAAATCTAGAAAAGTTCTTCTTCTTTCCATCCAGAATAAAGTAGATGGGGAGTGTGTTTGCGTGTCTGTGTGGGGGTGTGGGGGGCAATTTGTCAAGAATTTCCAGATCTCTACGATTCTATAGTCAAAATTAGCCAAAGGAAATTTAGGCTTAGAGCAGACACCACACAGTATAGCATATGGAGGGTAAAGTAATGTTTTTGACATAAGATAAAACTGTATTTGATATGAATCATACTTAAGGAGCTAGATGACTTGGTCAAATTATTCAACCTCTTTGAGCCTCTGTTTTCTTATCTGTAAAATGGGGCCTCTATCTTCTCCACAAAATGGAGAACAGAACAGACGGTATACATTTGTTATAAAGACTATATAA